ATATTGGTTTAATGTAAGTGGCTATTGTTCAGGATGAACAATACTAAGGAAGGGGCAGTGTTACGACAGTGGAAGTCAACAGCATCATATATGACAACAGCATACAGAGATGTATGGTGAGTTATGGTGAGATTCAATGCCCATATTATGAACTTCATGAAGCTTTGAAAACCAATATAGTAGCAGTAGTGATGCTGAACCTTAATGGCAGTGGTGATTTCACCAGTAGATGGACTCCATGAATAACAACTAATGAGCTTCAAGGAGTGCAAACAGTGAACTCAGATGTTGCTTGGGTGTTTATTCATGTTCAGCAGGATACCGTATGATCTGCATAGAGATTTAAACACAGATGAGCACACAAAATCTCTGGTACTTATACAAGTACTATGACTGCATATTAATGTACTGATTTACTACAGAAACTTGGATCCTGATATGAGGTTTAGCTACTGGTTCTGAAGTTTTAGAGGCTGGAGATACATTGTACTTTACGTATTTCAAGAACTATAACTCGTCAAGGAGTGTCACTGAGTTTTTTTCTGACCCCGTTCATTTTGAAACATTGAAATGTTATTTAAGCACAGAATTGTGTGTGTGTATATATATATATATATATATATATACTGCTCAGAGGAGGAACCTGCCATGCCAGAAAACACCTTAGGCAGAGAATTGCAGCTTCTCCTTTACAGAGAATAGTCCTGAATATTTTTGCTAATTTGTTAATGGTTATCAAGAGATGTTGGTCATTGTAAATTACTTCATCAAGTAGGCCAAAGCTTTTCATCCACTGGTTGATGTCCTAGTGTGCCAATAAGGCATTAGCTGAACAGTACATTGAATGATTCAAAGGATTTGTAGAAACCTATGTGGATCAAAGAGCAAACCTTTAAAGTCTGGTTTATGAGCAAATTAAATGTCCCTGTTTACAAAATTCTTCCATGTCTGACTTAAAATTTAAAGTATAATCTTCGTGATAGTGTATAAGGCAACGGAGCAAGAGTTGACTCTTGTTTGGCCAAATGTACTAATGTCTGGACTTAAAACAAGCTTCCACTATCCAAAGTGTCACAATGCCTAGAGAAAATGTGGAGTATTTATGGTTAATGTATATGAAATTATGTTTCACCATACAGGTACGAAAGACATGTATCAAAACATAGTGAGGGCACGTAAGTTCGAGCACATAGTTCAGATTTGTTTTTGGTATACAACAGGAACACAGTAATGCTCCAGTTCTGGCAGGAGTGAGGACCATATTTTGTACTCAACAACCCAATTTACTAATGGGCTATTTATGTCATAGCATATGCGACATCGAGAAATAAAGTCATATGAATTATTGACATACCTCTCATGCACTTATTAGACAATAAATCAGTGGTTGAAGAGACAGATGACAGTGAAAGCTTCGTGTATAACTTGATTAATGACGAGGAAGATGCCACAAGTGCTTCCATGATTATTCATTATGAATCAAAGGAGAATGCCCTGGTTGCAAAATTGTTCAGTTATTCGGGGCATCAGTCATGTCATCAACAATGACCTGTCAATGATTGTGATTGCGATAGAGTTGACCAGCTATTAAGATGGTGTTATGACTCTTGGCTACAACCATGCACTGGTGGAGAAACCTAACACATTAAATGACATAGAATATCCCATATTTTGAACAATGGAGAGGAGTTATTTTGTGTTCTTACAGGGCAGGTCATCTGAAATTCGTTCAATAACACCCAAGATGATGTAGGCGCTCGTCAGTTAACACATTTAAAATTTGAACACTAAGTAGAAGTTGGGTTCCTTAATTTCTGAGCTATTGGAAGATTTTTAGTGTACAATATCTTGTACAGCTATGAGGTCAACAGCTGAAAGTTTAGTAATTTTTTCTAATATACCGAGTGGAGTTTATGGGTGATTCTAGGCCCCTTGATCTTAACTGATAAGACAACTGATGGTATTGGATACAGTACCCATAACGTTAATAGCTAAAATGAATAATTTATAATGATTGCAGTGATATGTGATAAATATAAAATTTATTATCTTTGCTTATCGAGTATGAATAACAGTCCAGATTGCGTGAATTGCACTTTAAAAGCTTTAGTCCATTAAATGTTGTCTGTAATTATTCCCTCATAATATCTATTGAGTTGGGTTTTCTACCATATAGATGGCAGCATGGTAGTGGAGGGTGCAGCTGCAAATATTGGTAGTTGGTCATGTTAACACAGGTGTATCAATGATGGTATGTTATATACTATATATACACATATATAAAATGTGTTATGCTAGGGAATACATATATTGTGCACAGCAATATACAGTTTTTTTGTCACATGTGGAATTTTTCATTTATGTTGTGAATTATGAACATGAGCATATATATATATATACAGAGAGCACAATCATCATGTAGAAGAGTAATGTCATTGATTCTGGTAAGTAATATGATATCTGTAAGTTTGCAAGCTTTCATTGACAAAGTAAACTTATTATTGTAGCTTACATCTCTTCGAGGGAAGTACAGAGTCTGCCTAATATTTCCACTGATAATAAGGGAAGAATATGTTCAATTTGGTAAAAGTGAAAAATTCATAAGCTTTCAAATTTTTTGAGGGTACCTGGTAAGTAGTATCCACCATCTAGTTAAGTACTTTTAATATAATAGTGGGATTGACTGTTACTTTTATAATGCGTCCAAAGCTAAAAATATGGAGTGTGCATCATATTGTGAGATGTAACATTAGACTTCCTGATCCACAACACAGCACACTTATTATTATGAGTTGCCCTACTTCACTGAAATATATCTCTGCCAGGACAAGCAGAAAATGGTGGGACAAGCAATATTCTATCTTAAAAGATTCTTTTCATGGTATTGTAACATTACCTTTAAATGATGTTATTTCATTCAATAATATGGGTTTTTTTTTCTGGTTTGCTGTACAATATATCATGTGTATTTCTTTATTACTTCATTACAATGTTTAAAGGTATATATATGTTACACACTCTCCTGCGTAAATGTCATGACATCTGGTGTTGTCCAAATATAAGATTAAGATTCCAATGCTAGGATTTAAACTTTGGTTGATATCAAATTCAAAATTAAGGATGACCTAAAGATAGAAGGAAAGAATGAGGTATACATTTGTCACAAACTAAACTTCTCTATAACATATTATATGAATATTTGTTTAATCATAATTTTTCCCCAAATTCTATATTAGTTTTCTGTACTTAGATACAAGTTCCATATGAACATAGTCGTTGATTTTACCTATAGGAACTGTTTCCCACGCCTTTAGGCTAAAGCCCAGACCTTGTTTATCTTCGCACTTGGTCTAATTACTGCATGCATTGTTGAGAGTGGTACGACAGGTTGTCTAGTATGCTGCTCATATACGAAGCCAGAAACTCTGGTTTCCCTCTTTTGTTAATGGGGCTCGGTGATTACGGCGATGACACGGCACTTTGAGAAATTCTGATCGATAGTAAGATTGAATATAATCCTAAGCAAAGCTAGTTCTCACTCAGATTTGCTGTCATGGTCGTTTGATGGAATTGTCTCCACATCCTTGAGTAACACCCATAGATAGATGGCTTGAAATAAAAGAATGTTCTCGTCTATGTTTCGCTTTTGTTCTGGAAATAATTATAACTCTGTTTAGCAAATCGTATCGAACCTCCCGTTATTATTGTGGTCTAGCATACCTATTGCTTTAAACTGTACATAAAAAGGTCACACGTTTTTCCACTTTAGTATAATCCATGGAACCCTGAATATCATATTTTTCATTTGTAAACAAAAGTCGCCAGTGAATTATTTGTTTTAGAAGTATCGTGTATCATTTGCAGCACAGTGTAAATGCGTACGACACATAGCATGTTGTCAATATCCTACTTAATGAAGGACTAATTAACTTTTTAATTAAGTTGCTTAGTTATTCAGTGCCGTATGAATATCAAATAGTCAGCTAAGTAATTAAACTCGACTTCTTCGGAGTTCATACCAAGATAATTGAAACTTGGAAATAAAAAATTCAATCAAGTGTATTGTTTTCCATTAATCTTATGTTTTCCTTTTTAAACGTTTACCCCAAAGTTATTGTTAAAGGGCAAATATATAGCTAGATATTAGGTGTTATTATTATATTATTCATAAAACTATATGACGAGCGTGGCCTAGTACTTAACGCGCCCAGATTGTGTATTCGCAGCATTTGCTCTGCATTTTGTGACCTTGGATAAGATGTAAGGATGACTGTCTAATAGGAACGGTAGGTCAGATAAGAGTAGCCCATTGTTGATAGTAGGTGCTGTTGACCAGCTGCCTTCCCTCTAATCTGTCAATTCAAAATTAGAGAAGGCTTTGCGCAGATAACCTGTTATGTGGCTTTGCGCAGACTACCCTTTGTGTAGCGCGAAAACAGCAACAGCAATTACACAACAATGTGTACATTACATTAGGCTGTAATGATAAGTCATCCCTTGTGGATTGCCTTTAATCACCTATTTTAGATAACTGGGTTCATTGCCTCTTATTTCATTATTTGAAAAAAAATGAATCATAATTTACTACATTTTATATATATATTTCAAATCTTTCTCAATTTCAGTGGCTGTTGTTATCGCCTTCTTTCTTTGCTGGGCTCCTTTTCACGTTCAACGTCTACTTGTCGTTTATGTCCATAGGGAACAATGGACTATGATGTTACGTACCCTGAATGAGGTTTTGTATTATCTTGGTGGTGAGTATTAGATTTTAAGACCATAATAATTATATTAAAAATATATTTTATTTTATATACATTGCAAATCGTGGTGTCTGTCTTAGCGTTCGTCTGTCTCCCGTTTGAGAAGCTGCGCACGCAGGTAAACCTCAACATTCACTTTTGAAATGACAGGAGAACAGGCAGGATATTCTACACTAAATTGTTAGGAATTAATCACACTATCATTTATATTTCAAAATGTGACGTAACTTAAAGAATAAAAATGTAGATTTACCGTATGTTATTTTTGACCGACTCTTAGCATGACTGATATACTCAACAATAACTTTTCGTGGTGGGTGGTATAAGTAGCTCAGAGCTTTGGGTTTGAGTGAAACTAAGAGTGCAACACAATTAATCTTTTTAAAAGTGCATGAAATAACTGAAATTGATAAATTAACATCAACTTAAACTTTTCTCGTCACTGGGGACGGGTACTTTTGCTTGTATAAATATATATGAAAAACAAGAACATGAAAATAATAGTTATTTGTTTCTTGTTATGCACAAAGTTACACAATGGGCTAGCTACAGGTATCGAAACCCGATATTTAACGACATAAGCTTTCAGACTTATCACTGAGCTACTGGTGCACATAACAGTTATATATCTTATTTCACAAAACCTTGAAAGTATACTAGATGTAAAATACATATAACAATTTATTTAAAATGATTTGAATCAGATATTATCTGATACGTAATTAAATTTGAACCTTAGGAAAGAGAATAATTCATATTATTATTTTTTTTAGATCTATCCGAATATTATAAAAATAGCTAATATTGTAAGTTCTGTTTTATTGTAAGGAAGCTGGAGAAAGTAGAAGAGATTTACATTAAATTTCAAATAACCAAAACTACTCTTCACAAGAAAGAAATATACGTTTTATATACAGGGATAGGACAAAGTTCACGTATAACCGTCATATTTTATTCTTTCGTTTCAATAGTTTCAACAAAAGGAACAGAGGCTTTCAGCAAATCATCAACTTGTTAGGTCACTTTTTTTAGTTGACGTTAGTAATTGAGGCAATCACGCAAAGCAACATAAGACTTGAAATGATTTTTAGCTATTCAATATCTTTGCTAAAAATAGAAAACGCTCTCAGAAAATAAGACCGGTTAAATAAAACTGAATGGTTTAACTATGACAAGCAATACCAACTAAGCTGCAGTGGCGCTCATTTAATTAATACGGTTTTCATCGATCAACAGAAACTATAAAGCATGGCAGTTAGGTCGGGCAAACACACACACAAATATATTGATTCAAACATATTTTCCTAGATCAACCTCACATCACATTAGTTTTTCTATTTGGTTTACACAGTTTTATGTGAAGTCTACATCAGCCAGAATCAACCTTACTTCACACAATCTTATGTGAAGTCTATACCAGCCAGAATCAACCTTACTTCACACCAATTTTATGTGAAGTCTATACCAGACAGAATCAACCTTACTTCACACAGTTTTATGTGAAGTCTATACCAGCCAGAATCAACTTTACTTCACACCAATTTTATGTGAAGTCTATACCAGCCAGAATCAACCTTACTTCACACCAATTTTATGTGAGGTTTATACCAATCAGTAGCAACCTTACCTCACACCAATTTTATGTGAAGTCTATACCAGCCAGAATCAACCTTACTTCACACCAGTTTTATGTAAGGTCTACACCAATCAGTAGCAACCTTACATCATACCAGTTTTATGTGAGGTTTGTACAAAGCAGCAGTAACCTTATTTTACACCAGTGTTTTAGGTGTACACCAACTGATAAAAACCTCATAGTACTCCACTTGTATGCGAGATATATATTCATTTAGGTTAAATCCTTCTTAAGACACTTCTGTTAAACGTAACAGTCAAGTTGAGTTTTACAAGGGCCTCCGGGCTTTTTGTCGAGTGTTAGACATTTCCTATAGCTTAGCATTCATTTTTATTCTTCCATATACGTACTCTCTGATTTAATAACTTCTATCCGAAGAGTGTTATTGTTTAAGTATTTTCGTGTGCTCGAGGCCTGCATTGATTTTGTCTATCAGCACAAACGCGAATCAATCTTTAGATCTTTTCACGTGACTAGATACATGTCAATACGTGTCTAGATGTCAGTTACTGTAGTGCCTCTCCTTGTATTAGTTCGTTTTTTATAGTGTTAGCTATTAAATGCCCTAATGCTCAGCCCAACTAAAGTAGTTTTTGATCTCTTGACTTGAAAACATATTGTGTCATCAGCCAATTTTGAAAATATTTAAGATTTCTTTTTTACCCACCTTCTACTTTTGATCACTTCTCAAAAATTGGGAGAATGTTTTAGATTTTTTTTCCCCTATAATCAGACCGAGAAGAATACCAGATACTCTGTTAGAAAAGTAAAACTGCCTAAGCTGAAGATGACTAAATCAAGCAGAGCACATAGTGTTTGATCAGGCTGCTTTGCCTCTATTGCACGTATCAAGGGTAATATAGTAGAAAAGACTATCAATATTTAATGGAACATTATTGATTTCTCATCTTAACAAAAGACGCCATTGTGTGATAAGACTTTCGGTTCGATTAACTTTGTTCATATCGTCATTTGGGATCGGATTTTTTTTTTCTTCCGTAAACTATTTTTAAATTTAAAAAATCATTTGTTAGCACAGTAAAACGTACGATGGGAATTGGTAGTATAATCAAAGATAACTAAATAAAATGAGCGAACTTTGTGACGGAACCAAACCACAATAAAATGGCGATTTGTATTTATTGGCTATCTTTATACAGATATCTTCGGATAACAATACGATTTGGTAAAATACGAAAACATAAAACACAAAATAAAACTAGCACTTTTTTAAAACCATATCAAAGTCAGAAATACCCAATTAAAGTGAACTGTTAGACTTTCGTCACTAGTTGTTTTGTGCTCTGTATCCTGACAGATTAAACTGATTATTATAATTATGTGTAATGTATTATATTGCGAATAATTTTCGTTGCATAAACCTAAATCCTAATTATTTCCATATAGTCCTAATTATGTGAAATTTCAGTTGTAATCACAGTATTGCATTAGTTTTAGGCTTAAACTGTATTCAATAAGGTAAATTTCAATCACAAAACCAAGCCTTAAAACTAGTAACGTCGCATGTATCAATCAAATAAAACCAGGGACAAACTACAGTGTGGGAGTGATAGGTTATGTTTAAGTAAAATAGGTATCCTACTGAGATGGAAATAACACAGTGGTGGGGATGCACCTTCTTCTCTTCAGTGCGACATGTGGCAGGAAATTAGAAGTTTAAAATTAAATGCAGGAGTAGATTCTATAGGGCACGTCTCACATCTGAAACTTGCATTCACTGTCTGCAACCAGTTTTAGGAAGACAGAATTAGCAATTAAGCCGAATAGAAATAACAAATGTCGTAAAATAGGTCATTATCGACAATCCAATAGGGATGATCAACGAAAATTACAGGTCACATAGTCACATGAACAGTATAATAATAAAAACTAAGCGTTCGACTTTGAGATACCCTACAAATACCATAAATTATAACATTTCCAATTTGTAGTTTGTATTCTAATATTCTAACGTTTCTTGTCTGTATACTCCGTATTTTTTACATGCATTCTTATATGATTGAAATATAATTTATAAATATATTAACAAACGTACCCACGTCTCATTTGCCTACTGAATACGGGCTAACGTGAAGCCGACATCAAATGAAATGGCTGCCTAACTTGAACCGTTCGTCCGGTTGATTATCTTTTGGAATTCCATTTTTGTTCAGGGGAGGAAGGGGGGCACCTGAGTTCGTCTAACAAATTTCGCCAACAGTAGATTTGTTCAGAGAATTCCTCACAACAACTTATAACGTCAAGACACCAAACAGACGAGCAACTCTACTTTAATATTTAAGCTTTTTATTTCTACTTTATAAATGATCAAAACAATGTATATTTGCATGGTCAAACCCGAAAATCGTTCATACTAATAAAACAAATGCTTTGTTTTATTTTCCCTTGTGTTCAACTTACATGTTTGTATATTTCTGCTTCTTTTTTGTTTGTTTGTTTTGAATTTCGCGCAAAGCTACACGAGGGCTATCTGCGCTAGGCGTTCCTAATTTAGCAGTGAAGACTAGAGGGAATGAAGCTAGTCATCCCCACCCACCGCCAACTCTTGGGCTACTCTTTTACCACATTATAACACCCCCACGGCTGAAAGGGCGAGCATGTTTGGTGGGACGGGGATTCGAACCCGCGACCCGCACATTGCGAGTCGAGCATCCTAACCACCTGGCCATTTTTCTGTTTCTCTGGTGCTACTGTTCTTGCGAGCAAGTGTTACGTAGTTGATCCGAAAGGATGATGATCAATGAAGTTTCATACACTTGATGATTGAGATCCTCCAGATAGTCTTTGCAATGTTTTCAATACAGTTCTTTAAAATTACATGCATATGCAAATTATTTTTTATTGTTTGTTTTTACGAGTGATTAATGTAAATAGAAATGCTTTTAAAGTCCCGATGAGCAAGATTACCGATTGTTACATCCTTTGTTTGTTTTACAGGTTGCCTCTACTATTTTAGCGCCACCATAAACCCTATTCTATACTCTTTGATGTCAGAAAAATACAGAGAAGCATTTAAGGCGGCTTTATGCTCTTCATCAAAAGAGATTCGTCCCAGAGACCACTCGACTTTTCGGGATCCACGTCGTCCGAGCCAGAACACCCTGGGTCCCAGCGAGCGTCATTTTTCAATACGGAGTGAGCGCAAATTCAGCGAAGAAGGTAAGATTTCAGAAGACAAATTACGTACCAGTGCCAGTGAAACCAACCTTCTACCAACAAATAAACACAGGCGATTGAGTTGTGGCCGAAACTTTGTTTCAACAGAAAATAAAATACCGGCTACATCTCCAGATAATACCAAAGAACCTGAGAAAGAAATGTCAGTTCATGATGACAAAGAAGCGGAAGCGAAAGAGGATACATTTTTAAATAATAATCGCAATGGCGTCAGCTTGGGCCTTGAACTTCCAGTCTCAGCAGGATCTTCCATTCGAAATGACATAACTTGTTCGCACATTTCTGAGTATCAAAATGGTAAAATCAAACATAAAAAGTGTCATGTGAGGAAATACGGTGGTATAAACATACCGAACATTCTTGTGACAAAATATGATTCTGAAAAATGTAGCATTGAACAACTATCGGCGAACAACAGAAAAATGTCAGAGCTGTTGTAAAGAACATAAAAACAAGAATTCCAGACTTAAATATCACAACACGCTTGATGTTTAATAGCAGTTATAAAAATGTAAATATGAATCAATAAAATTGAATTTCACTTAAAAGTAGCAATTTCTCTTCTTTACATTTTGTCAATCAATAGTAAATCTGAACTCGCGGTGTTTCATGGCTTCACTTTTTGTTGATAGTGTTTGTTCGTTTCTTTGTTATTAAGCACAAAGTTACAAATTTCTGTGCTGTGCTCACCGCGAGTATCCAAACCCGATTTTTAGCGTTATAAGCCCTCAGACTTGTCAGTGAGCGATCGGGGGACTTGTTGATAATATAATTGTATTCCAGCGTAAAAGAAAGAATTTTAATCACCACTGAATGTTGCTGCTAGTTTAGGCCTATTGAAAATGTATCACCTTTTAAACGTCACATTTCTTTAGCGCGACAGAATTAAATATTCAGTAGCAATGACATCCGATGAATTTCAATAAAAGGGGCACGCTAGTGTGAAATAGGACATCTGTTCAGAGAAACATTATTATTTATATACCGCATTGTTTAATTCCTAAATCCACAAATAAGGTGATATCGTCGGTTATCGACTGTGAGTCTGAGTAATGAAAGTCAGTATCTTTGCTCCAGTGGTAACTTTATTTGTACGCTACAAATGCTTTTTTTTTTCTTTATTAATCAAATCAAACAATTCTATATGTTGTGTTAAATATGATAGACAACAGCATATTAATTTGGTAATTAGAATAAACTAGATGGCTTAAAATGAATTATTCGTAAAAGTGAAGTTATAATTAATGTTTGAAGCAACAACTTTCTAAGAGACGTTAATAACAGACTTACGGCATCAAAAACATTTAATTAGCTTTATATTACTTAACAAACCACGCCGGTTCAACGTAGCTTCATTGATTTAAATTGATAGATATTTGTTGTCCTAGCTATACACAAATAATGTATAAACTGTCTGACAGCTGACTGTATTAGACATCCAGTCAAACCTCTGCTTGGTCTATTTTTATTGTGATGAGTCTTGTCTCATACACTAATTTTCCGCTTTTGTTATTCCTCTCACTTTCACTGTAGTCGCCTCTATTTCTACAAAATAGCCTCTACTATAGCTCATCGGAAATTTGGAGGTCTTATAACGCTAAAATTAGAGTTTCGATACCCGCTGCTGGCAGAGTACATTTAGCTCATTGTGTAACTTTATGCTAACCAATGAAGAAATCCTAAAAAATAAGATTGCTGTTTTAAACTGAAATAATCGTTTCGAAACTTTAAACATATAAACATTTTCAAAATATGAATAATTAAACTATAATTTCTCAGCTAGCACTAGTCTGTCATTTGACATTTACATAATCTCTTTAGAGCTTAAATTAAAAAAAAACAAACGTTCATTTAACTTGATCTTACTCAACCGAAATCTTGGTTAATTCCTCGTTAAGGTGTTTTCTCCTTTTAATTCTGGATAAGCTTCTATACTTCCACACACATCATCTGAATAATTTTAACTAATCTAAACCGTCATGTATTTACTGTTTGACTTGAACGAGCTTTTGATTCTTTTTGTCATCATGATATAGATGTATAAACTTCGCCATATGGCACTTTCACTTTATTTTATCTGTCTCATACACTTTATCTTGGACTGACGGGTAAGATCTTCACGAGAGCTTCCATTATCTTTCCTTTCCCCTTGGGTGCAGGAGTTTCAAAAGGTTCGGTTCTATCACCTCTTCTTTATATAGTCTGCATTGTTGATATGCTCATCTCTTAATCTCCCGCCCACCCCTTTTTAACAGAGCAATGATACAGCTCTCGTTGTTACCTGCAAAACAATGGTTACTCGCAACAAAATCTTAAGGGCTACAGTCAACGCCACTGATACCTTACTATTAATGCTAGCAAAACAAAGTCATCCTTTTACTGAGGTTTGAATCTACTACTTCTGCTACATTTGTATAAAGCCTCCATTCCCCATTGTCTGCTTTTTTTACCACAGACTACAACAGATTTTGAAGCATCGTGCCCTCCTGATAGTTTTCAGCATACAACTACTTAGTCCAGCTGGGAAACCTTATGATCATGGATCCTAATATATTTCAGAAAGTCGCCATTTTTCCGGATTCTTTATTCCTGTTTGTCACTATGGGGCACTATTACTGTCTGCTCAACATATGTCAAACCATTATGTAATGTCCTTGCAACCAGATTATCCTGCACATCCATATTATTAGTCATCACTCCTATATTTTCACATCGCCTGGCCGAAAAGAGACCGTAAACCTCTCGTTAAGATTTATTTTAACCATATTAAATCTTATTTAATGTAATATTGTAATTTGTTTTTATGTTTTAGTTATTCTACTTCCATTTTACTTAATTTAGTTATTTTGTTTCTTTTTCACTCATATCGTCTTACTCTAATATCATAATTCCAATTTCTAGGTTTATGTTATTTTAGTTTTATCTTACTTAACCTGGAAGAGTCCTCATTAAAGTAAAAGTTAACCTTATCTCATCACACTTAACCTAACATCATAGTTTCCTTTATAGGCTTGAATTATATTTAACCTAATCTTTCTTCTTTTATTTGGCTTGGTTTGTTCTATTGAGTACAATGCTAGATTGTTAATCTGATAGTCCTGATTCGCGTCCTCTTGTCACAATATTGCGTTCAGCCCTTTGGGACCACGTATGCATTATAAGAGTGACGGTCAAATCCCACTATTCAAATGAAGTAGCTCAAGAGTTGGTGGTTGGTTCTGTTTTCTCTCTAGACTATCAAAACAAGGACCGACTAACATAAATAGCTTATTTTTGGCTTTGCACGAATAAGCGAAAAAAACAAATAAATCTTATTTTAATCTCACCAAATTATTTCCTATTTGCGATTTAATTTATTCTCAACATATCTTACATAAACTAATTTGGTGATTTTTTCTAAAGTTTTAAATAAGATGTAAATAATAGTGATGATGATTTAATACAACTAACCATTATAATTTTCAATACCACTAACTAATTTTTTGTGAATATATCAGGATCATTATTAGGCTTTTTATCTATATTTATGTTACAGGTTATAGCATCATAACAGTTTTATGCCAAATGCAATATGCCTGAATATCTGGTTAGTTACTTATACTAAGACGCTGTCATTAATGTAAAAAATTGGCACCAAATAAATTTCGATAACATAGTGTAGATTTAGAGAGAACTACGCACAACACAGTTGGTGCAGTTGATATAGTGTAAATATAGAGAGAAATATGCACAACACAGTTGGTACAGTTGGTTAGCATCAATTCAAGTCACATCAAATGTTCAATTTACTCTCCATTTATTTCTAGAAAATACGAGATAGGACATCGTAGACAGCAGCACACCTTCAGTGACAAACATCGCGTAATGTGAAGCAAAATTTTTACTCAAGTGTTTACAGTGGATAGCCAAACAATCCTACTAACATCATACTCATACTTTTAACTGTAATTCTTAATGATGTGATAGCCCAGTTACAGTTTCATGATCACTTTGCAGCGATATCTATGCTTTTTTTTTATAATATTGTTACGTCTCTGGTCGTTTGTTAATTTCCGGTATAAATTATTCCCGAGGAATTTCAGTGATACAAGTCCTTTCTTGAATAAAACTAGTTTATTCTTTCTCAATAGAACTTTGCAATACACAGAATTTCCACAGTCACTTTAACTTCAACACAAGCTATAATTCACAACGATTCACGCAGTTTACTTATGGTCACTACCGCTCGCTTGACTCAAGTATCTGTCTCTATATCTCTCTATCTGCAATTATTATCTCCGCTTTATTTGCCGGGCTTATATACTAAAATAGAGGGTTTCCTTCTAGAAACCCATGACGTGTTATTAGAGTCACGGACAACAGAGTTTTGGTCCTGCACCATTGTACTTCAACATGCAATCACACCTTCTGGGTTTTTGAAGTTAATCAAGCATTTCAATGATGCATGGTCCACTCGAATGGTAGTAGTGGTAATGTTCGATAAACACTACAATTGTAAACATTTTGTTCTTTGTCATGTAGTACCAATATTCAATACTTGTCAACATATAACTGGCATGTGTGATTATAAGCTGCACACCTTCCATTGCCTGTTATAATATCACTGTAATTTCACTATTACTAGCATTTGTATTGAAGATTAATGAAATCTTACTTGTGATAAATGAAAACTGGATCATTAACTAAAGAATATTTTAATCACTCATATATTTGATTGCAGTCTTTAGTCAATCTAAAAGGTGAAATAAGTTTAGTTTGAGGAGACAATGGTGCTGACACGTTTATAACGTTAGCCATAAACATTGATGATATGATCCACAGCCTAGAAAGCTGATGGCTTACTTCTGAGCCTCAGGCTAAGAATTATAAATCTTTAACCATTGTAAACTTTATGGGATCAGTGGAAATTTCATACTTGTATTACAAATGTATTACAAAGAAAATCTACACTTATATGCATTATTACATACTTTCCTGACTTTACGTTCAAACCCATTTTCTTCATTTGGTGAAACGTCATTATCAGGTTCTCAGAAGCAGACTGAAATATATATATACAGGAACCAGTATTTCATTAACAGATG